ATGACAATTTAAAAAAAAAATTAATAGTACTAATAAAAATAAATACAAAATTAAATTAAGGGAATTTCAGTGTTACCGTCACAATCGAGTTTCGATTAAAAATGACGTACATTTCGCCAGCCCAACCAAATACAATTTTCAAACTTTTTTTGTTGTTAATTATAAGTGTGCCATTAGTGTGAATTTGTGTGACCAATTTCGGAATTTGTACGTTTAAAAATAATGTACGGCGAGAAGACCGTCGTCACCGAAGTTATTTAGAGGAACGAATGAAGAAATTATTTCCATTATTTTTGGAAATATGAACGTAAATATTGTAATTCTTTTGTTCTACTAAGAAATGAGTTTTACACATCTGTGTAGAAAACTTTCGTTTATCGAGTTTTGAATCTAGTAGAGAAATATTTGAAGTAATATTTTATAGGTACACATCTGTACTTCAATTAAAATTGTTGAGATGTATAGGTAATAAAATAACTTTATAAAGTTTTAATGTGAACTAAGGTAAAGAACCAGATACTTTTTTAGAGAAACTGAAAAAAGAATGAGTTATTTTTTATTTTTTTATAGGAACGAAAAAATGAACTACTTTATTTTAATATTAAGGAACTGAACGAATTCCTATTTATAGTAATAGAGCAATGAATTGAACAGATTCTTATATAAAAGAACGTTAACAATACTGGTAGGTATTTGAGTATTGCCAATCGGTGTTCAAAAAATATCTATCACCAAGTATGTATTTTAATACATTTAAAATACTATTGTATTTAACACTTTCCTTTAAGTACTTTTTTGCGACAATGAATTTAAAACACTTGAAATTGTTGTATAAATAAACGATCACCCTCAAATCGTTAAGTATCTCTACATAAAATGTCACTTTTAGTGTGACTGATAATAATATTATAGAACAATGATATTTTGAATTTTAACAAACATTAATTATAATTTATATGATATAATTCATAAAATGATAAATAATAAGTACTTTTTTTAAAAATAGTATATGAAACTTTTTCGGGGAAAATGTGTTCTTGATAATTATTTTAATACATTATAATATTAGTTGATGTTAATGCATATTATTAAATAATGGCTGTAGTTAATAAATAATAAGGCAGGTACAAGTTAGTTAGTACACGTTTCTATTCAGTAATAAAATTAATAATAATTTTTAAATATTATTTAGTAAATAATTTAAATTTAGTTTTAAAAATCCTTTAACAAAAGTTATACTAATAGTATCTAAAATCAAGAAATGCATAATAAAAAAGGTGTATCTAGATTCTAAGTTAATATCATTTACTGTTTGAAAAATAGTACCTATTTCAAATGTATCTGAAATATTTTTTTAAAAGTATTATCTATTTTAGTTGTACATATAATAAAAGATATTTTTAAGAGTAAGTATAGTTTAGTGTACTATCTAGTATATAGTATATACTGGACTCAAATGCTTTTAAAAGGCAGTACAATTAATTTATTATGCATAATTTTAATTTCGTTAAATTTTAGACTAAAAAAAATTCGAAACATGATGACTTTCTTTGTTAAACACGCCTACTTGATGCCTCTATACATTGTATGCTCGCATTATAATATTAGCTGATGCCTTTTGGTGTACATAGTTAAGCCAGTAATATTAAAGTATTTAGTTACATAATATATAAAAAGTATACACAATATAATATATTATAACAAAGCCAAATAGATACTTACTTACAACATTAACACTTGATGCAATCTTTGGGGAAAGACCTGTGCTATTGAAATATATCATGTTGGTACCTATGCATAAGAAAATGTTGTTTTCAGATTACTTCGTATGCTCCATGGTACGGACAATTTTACGTCCAGAAAATTTATTTTATTTTATAATAAACATCATATTTTAATTTATGCATGTTGTTTTTAATATTAAAGTCAAATTAAATAATATCATTTTAAATTTATAAGTATAAAATAATCATGAATTGTTTTAAAATTAAAATATCATAACACTTGCGGTAAATGATGACCATAGTTCAATGCTGCACTATACGATGCAGACGATTGCTCGTCATCTTTATTTACGGAAAACTGGCTCATCAACGTATCTCCTCGGGAAATGTGGATATTGAAAATGAACAACTTCCCGAGTAAATGTAATTTTAACGACGGCCGTAAATAATGCTGCAGTGTAAGCGAGATTAGCGCCGCACGCCCGTTCAAAATGGAAGACAAATAAATTTATTTAACTCATTATGTTAATAAGTAATATTTTGTAGGTTTTTTTATTTAGGACATTAAAATATACTCATTAGTAATTAATAATTATACTTAGGGTTTTTAAAATTTCATGAAATGTATTTCCTTGAAATATTTAATTTCAATGAAAAATTAAAAATTAAAATATTGATTGAAATAATTGAAAATAATTGGGTTTAGATTTTGATATTTATTTTTAGACCTATTTTTAAATNACGAACAGGTAAAATGAATATGATTATATAAAGTAAACAAATAATTCGACATAGTCACATATTATTTTAAACGCATTTCAAATTTGATGGATCAATACCTATTTAGTATTCCATTAGCAAATGGGAACGATGAAAAACTCCGATCGTTTGAAGCGTAATCGAATGAAATATTTTACTGAATTAATATAAATTGACTCGTTTCGTGGTAATAAATATCCTACGTTTATCCATAATAACTGGGTATGACAAATCATACAATATTAACAGTATACACATTTATTACAAAGTGCGGTGCATTAAATATTTATTTATTTTTTATTATATATTACTATATACCATAAAACATTTACTATGTATTTGCCTTTAACAGAAAATACGAGAAAATACCTAATTCACACGATCATTATTATTGACACTGTAAATATTGACAGTATTTACATTACTGACAGTATAGTCCTCAAACAAAGGTCCGTTTCACCAGCACTGACCTTTCGAATCTTAAAATCAAACCTTGATAGTATTTTGTATAATTTTGTACAGCCAAAATAAAATTTTGAACACTCCTTTTAATTAAGACAAACCCCGATTTTTCTATGCACGTGCTGGAGAAACGTTAAAATGACACGAAACCCGTGTTTTCTGATTTTTATCGCTGCTATTGTTTAATTTTGAATGAATAAGGTAATATTTGTCTGCTATCATTGTCTACTGTACCTCTGAGCCGCGAAGAGAGAACCCCGGGCCCGGTGACAATATCTAGTGGGAGGGAGCTATATTTTTGACCACATATTATGTTCATTAACTTTGTAAGCAGGGCCGTCCTTAGGGGGGGGCGAACAGGGCCCGGGCCCTGGGCCTCGCGCTTTTTGCTTAAATTTTGGGCCTCGCGTTGTTTGAAAAAAGTAGAAATTTATATAAAAATAACGAAGTTGATTCAATGTAAAAATATTGAAATATCAAAAATACAATATTGTCGTAATCGCAACACATCGCTGTGGTAATGCGGGTAGCAGGCAGCAATCACCGACCGTCTTTTTCGTCGAATTTTTATTGCTTATTACTTATTAGTAATAGATAATAATAGATTTATTCGTTCGTCGTTCGTCGACTGTCACCGTTGAAAAACATTGATAATAATTAATAATAAATAATATTTATTGAGCAAATAGTAGATAGACCGATTTTATTAGTAGTAGTTTTTACTTTTTCGTGTAATCGTGCGTGCGTTTGCTGCTGACATTGATTGCATCTAATATTCTAATACAATAATATTAAAATGAGTGGTCGATTACGCGATAAATATCGAAAATTTAAAAGTGGTGGTGAAAAACGAAAACTTAAGATTGCTATTGAACATCAAAATGAACGTCAAAAAAACTCTTTATTCAAATTTTTTAAAAAAGACCAAAATGATACCATAGCCGATAGTGTTCAAATTGAAAGTAATGTGAATCTCCAATTGAGTGATAGTGACGATGTTAATTTTGAAAAAGTAGAAGTTCAATGCAATACTGTTAGTGATAAATATGAAAATGTGCCGATAGCCGATAGTGTTCAAATTGAAAGTAATGTGAATCTCCAATTGAGCGATAGTGACGATGTTAATTTTGAAAAAGTAGAAGTTCAATGAAATAGTGGTTTTGATGAATATGAAAATAAAAATGAAAATGAAAATGTACAACTGGTATCAGACGATGTACGACCGAAAGAAGACATCGAGAGCAGAAAAGTACTTGAAAAAGAATACAACTACGACGATCCAGGTAACTGGCCACAAAATATTAATGATAAATTACGAATTTATTTAGTTAAAAACCCACCATCAAAAATTAAAAATTATAAGTTTCCCTCTAACGATGAAGGTCGCAAATTTAGCGTTATACATTATAATAGAATAATGGCCAATGGTGAAAATGTGATTAGAAATTGGCTTTTGTATTCTAAATCTCTTAATCGAGTATTTTGTCTCTATTGTCGTTTGTTCCCGTCAAAGTCTACATCATCTTTGGCCTCAATAGGATTTTCAAATTGGAAACAGATTAGTGAACGTTTAAAAGAACATGAATTATCTATTCCACATACTAAGGCTCAAGAAAAATGGATACAATTACGTATGGGACTTGATCTTCATAAAACTGTAGATAATAATATACAAGATAATTTAAATATTGAAAAAGAACGTTGGCGTAGTATTCTTAAACGTATTATTGCATGTATAGAGTTTTTAGCAGAACATAATGACGCTTTTCGTGGTACAAGTTCTAAATTATATACACCGAATAATGGTAAATTTTTAGGACTAATACAAATGATTGCAAAATTTGATATTATTATGGCCGATCATTTGAGAAGTGTATGTAATGATGAAATACATGATCATTATTTAGGACCTAGTATTCAAAACGAACTTATTAGTATTATTGCCACAAAAATACGTGATGAAATAATTAATCGCGTTAAACAGAGTAAATACTTCACCATTTTATTAGATGGAACACCTGATAAAAGTCATAAGGAGCAGCTTACATTTCTTTTACGCATTGTAGAAATTTCGAAAAATTTGAAATACGAAATAATTGAATATTTTATATGCTTTATTCACACTTCAAATAAATCTGGCTCAAATTTAACAGAGGAAATAAAAGAACAATTACAATTAATGAACTTAGACCTGAAAAATTGCCGTGGCCAAGCATACGATAATGGGGCAAATATGGTCGGCCGAAAACAGGGAGTACAATCTCGAATTATTTCAGAGAACCCAAGAGCTTTTTTTGTACCATGCACTGCGCACAGTCTTAATTTACTTCTCGGGGACATGGCATCGTCTGTACCAGCTGCTATGACATTTTTTGGCGTAATTCAAAGAATTTATACAATGTTCAGTGCTTCTACTGAAAGATGGACTATTCTTTTAAAATACGTTTCAGACTTTACTTTAAAACCAATGTCAGATACCAGGTGGGAGTCTCGGGTTGAATCGATTAAACCTATTCGTTTTCAATTAGGCCAAGTACACGATGCTTTAGTAGAAGTCAGTGAGTTAACAAAGGATCCTAAGATAAAAAGTGAGAGTTTGTCTTTGGCAAATTATGAATTTTCTTATGATTTTATTTTAAGTGTTGTTATTTGGTATGAACTGCTATCTGCTATTAATAAAGTTAGTAAGAGTCTTCAGAGTGAAGCTATGGAACTGAGTAATGCTGTTCAATTATTAAGTGGTCTTAAAGATTTTTTTAATAATTTTAGAGAAAAGGGGTTTGAGTTATCAAAAAAAACTGCACAACAATTATGTGAAGATATTGGAACTCAACCAATTTTTAAACAATCTAGAGTTCTAAAAAAAAGTAAGCAGTTTGATTATGAATGTAATGATACACGAACAGTTTCTAACGAACAAAAATTTTATCAAGATTATTTTTTGGCATTGGTAGATCAAGCAATTGTATCAATTAATCAACGATTCGAGCAATTATCTGAACATTCAGAAAACTTTGGATTTTTATATAATATTGAAAATTTGAAGTTATTTGAAGATGAAACATTACGAAAGCATTGCATGGATTTAGAAATATTATTAAAGGACGGTGAAAATTGCGATATAAATGGAATTGAACTTTTTGACGAGTTAAAAATATTTTGTAGAATTTTGAACAAACAAAAAACCAGTATCGAGTGTCTTGATTCAATAGAATCAACATGTGGTTCATTTCCAAATATTTCTATCGCGTTAAGAATATTATTAACTCTTCCGATAACAACTGCAAGTGCTGAGAGAAGTTTCTCGAAGTTAAAAATCATTAAGAATTATTTGAGAACAACTATGGTGCAAGACCGACTTTCTGATTTGGCAATTATTTCAATTGAACGTGATTTGTGTGAAAATATAGACTATAACGACATTATTGAAAAGTTCGCAGAAATAAAAGCCAGAAAAATTAATTTTTGACGAATAAAATGATTTTTACTGTATTTTTTAGTATTTTAATTCGTCTGTTTATTGTTATTTTATTGAAATGAAAATCTGTATAAATATTAATATGTGACGATAAATAAATTATTTAATATCAGTAAATAAAGAAAAACATGTTATTTAAGTATACTCTAAAATTATTTTATTTTATTTACCTAGCTATATTATGTTTTATGAAAAAAAACCCTTATTTTAGATTATAATTAGGGAGGTATCTACCAAATTTGTTGTGTGATAAGAATTATTGATGTCATTATATGTTTATGGAGATAATAGATCATAGATATAAATATATACCTAAAAGGTTTTAAAAGTATTTTCGCCCTGGGCCTCGCAAATCCTAAGGACGGCCCTGTTTGTAAGGTAAGTGTTAGGAGTAGAATTTTTGCTGTGTTCGTCAATTTCATATTTTTTAACTGTTTCTTTAGTTTACAAAAAAGTCCTTAAACCAACTCCTCCTATACTTCTTCATCTGCCAGCTGTATTTAAACTTAATAACGGCACACGCACCTATACAAAACTTATATAAAGTTTATTTCATTTTTGTAAAGTCAGTGTTACGGACTATGGAGTACTTACCTTATACCATTTATAATTCATTAGGTACTTACTATTTAACTTTTGACATCAATGACATAATAGTATAGGTATCTGCCTTATATAGGTACATACTAACCAGTAACCACGGACATACTTACATGCATCTTAATCTTTTGCATGATATTTTATTGACATTCCGTATACTTGTATTGACGTGGTTATACAAACACAAGTTTAAAATGTCAATTAAAAATATTTTTATTAAGCCAAGTACATTAGTAATAATACAAATATTAAACTATTTATGAGTATTTAAAAAAAATGATAGGCCATGGGTGAAGATTTGAAGTATGGTGATAAAAGATATATTTAAATGTAAAATAAGACAATTTTGTACTTTTTAAATTTGTATACTCTTATGTTAGTAGTTATTTGCTTAAATTATTAAAAACAAGAAATATATATATTATATACATATACCTACCAACTATTCTACAAGGTATATATTTATGTATTATAACTTTAACATTTATGTTTTTTTGTTGTCACCGATCTTACATTTCCCAGTGATCGTATGGCCTATATGTAAATGCTTTGTAATTACCACTTCGCAGAACACCTATAACAGGGGTTACCAACTTATTTCTATGGGAGTCCGTTTTGAAACTTTTCAAACTTTACGCCGTCCAAACAGTTTCAATGACTCTTACACGTGTTAATAAATAGGTATTTATATTTTATAAATTTGTGATTATACTTATTTATTTGTTCAAATTGTATTTTACACACGTCAATAAATAGGTATAGAGGTCTAGGCCCTAGAAGATTATTCTAAAAATGTTGTCGTTTGTTTATTTTTTTTGTTGGACATTTTATAGCATTTACTTTTTTCAACAATCGTTTCCCCCAGTGATAGTTGACTTTCACCTTAATCTTCAAGAGTTGTATTAATTTATTTAACTCCTGTTTGTCTGTTCTATTTGATTTTATCTAACTCAAAATGTTGGCCAATCAAACCAGAAGATTCATCAAAATTACCTTCAGTTAAATAACTCTGGTTTTGCAGTTATTTAATATTTTTATTTCTGTTCCCCATAACTTGGAGCAGAAATTCTAAAATATCTGCATAGATAATTTTTTTTAATTTTAGAAGTTGTTTTTCAGATATTGTCACACATTTTTTTTTTATTTCATCAACTTGAAAAAATAATAGTGAAATATTTTTTAGAATATTAGTAGCTGTGTTTATTTATTACTATTATCTTAAATTGGAAGGTAATATGTGGATAGTAGTTTTGAATATTATTACAGATTATACAAATATTATTTAATATAATGTCATGTGGTAAAAAATATAAATACTAAATCATTCATGCTAATTAGTAATTACTAAGTAGGTACTACCAAAATATTAAACAGGAATCAAGCATCAAAACTAATGGTAAAATATGTACCCAACCAATAATATTATCCAAAATTCGTAATATATTTTATAATTTTTCAAATAAATCTTCTTATGCCGCCAGAATCAACATATACAAATAAGATATATAAAAAACTAAAACATTATTAAACTTACTATTATTTTCGAAGGCAATCTGGATCTCTAAATTCGATTATTTCATTGTCAATGAGATCATTAATATCTTTAGGCTTCCTTCCTCTAGTTTCGTCCAATATTTCTAATAGAAGTATAGAACCTATTATTTTGAGTTAACAATTAAACTGTAACTACATTAAGCTGTAAGTATACTACTAGTAAAATAATAAGATGAAAAGATACGTAATAAATAATAATATATATAACTGTTACTTACCTTATATAATCCAATGAAAACTAAGCAACACTGTGATTATAATTATTTCAGTATGTAGAGTATATAGTAAGTATATCTCATGAACAGTGCCAATTGTTTGAATCACACTATTCGACTGTCAAACACAAAATTAATTTAAATTTTTGGAAATGACCATAATATATAAAATAAACATCTTGTCTTCAATATTACAACGTACGTGCGCGAACCAAATAATGGGGTTTTTCTATTTATAATTATTGTTATTTGCATTTAGGCCGGGGTAAAGAAAAACTCAGTTTATTCATATTATTTGGTTACAATTAAAAAGGAGATAATAGTTAAAGACATTTTATGAATACAATAGCAAATCTAAAGAATGAAAACATAAAAACTTCCACAGATTTTGAAATATTCAAAACAAATTTCGCCCTGACCTAGTTAATACAAAACTAATACGTCCATTAAATAAATATCAATTATCAGACGCAGATAAAACACTGCTACAATTCATTGGTACAACAACTATTAATTTAATAGTTGAGAATATAATATTTAAAATACCTACCAATGAATGTGATAAAAAACCGGACCATCACAATGTTTCTCAGAAATAAATTTGTTAAACAAAAATTCTAACGCCAAGATAATGAATTTTAAATTCACACGAATCGAAATATACAACACAATACAACGCTATCGCCCATCAGCCAATATAATTAAAACTCATAAAGACTAATTATACACTACACCCAAAATATATTCTATAGCAAATACAACAATTTAATATAAATCTATCCTTTACAACTTAGAACTAACGCCACATATAATTACTACTACTGGAAAAGAATATATAATAATAGCCCATTTAACCACAAATGAAAAATATGATACACCCTCATCATATTCAAAATATATTTTACAAATCATATAATTTTAAAAGTTTGGACGTAATAAAAAGCCATAAAACTGTTTAAAAAAGTTATTATACTTATTATTAAACTTACACAATATAGTGTAGATACATTTAATTATGATAGGATATTGTAGACTAAAAATCGTATGACAATAGCGACAATACCAATACCAAAGAGAATATAATATATACATCGTTGGAAACTAAACGAGGTAAGTGATACACTTTTACATCAATCTAATATTATTGAGTATTTCAGTACTTGAGTAGTGGAATAAAAATCACCGTATGAACCACAAATAACTTATATTAATACCTCATAAGGCACCAATGTAGATCTCTTTCTATTATTTCTATTTTACTACAATGCAAATAAGAAGTTATTCAAAGTTTCAGAACAGAATCAAGTATAAGAATAAGAATATTGTAATTCAAAAATTAATTTTTCTCCAATATAGACGTATAACACACTTTTAAAAATTGAGTTACTGCACATTTTGTCGCACATTAGACATATACACAAATATAATAATATACTATTATACCAGCTACGGTAGTTCAGCTTCATTTATCATTATTATTGAATCATATTATTACAGCAGAAACATTATAATATAATAGGTATACGATTATACGATATTAGATTATCAATTTTATACCTACGAAGGTAATAAGTGGAAATAAATAAAAATAGACACTTGAAAATGTCTACACACTTGGTTTAATTGAAAAGTGAACTATAATATACTGTTATATTATGAGTTGGTACCTATATTGTTTATGTAAATGATAATATGATCACACCTATTTACTTACCTATCCTTTTATCGAAATCGACGAAACACTCAGAACACTCGTGCATAGGTACTGCGCGTAGGTACAACGCATGTTAATATGATAACAAAACGCTTGAACTTTAGAGTACCTACATTATTATTTCGTCCGTAAATACCTAGTGAGTTCGACAGGCGTAGGTGGTCGTATCTATTATTCCTCGCATTGCATTAGTAGGTATTAGCCATATAATATAATATATAATAATTAGGGCTGTGAATTTGTAATAAAGTGCATTTTATTTTGGTGATTGTGAAACGTAGCTTTGTAAGTACACAATTTGAATTATGTAACTGCGAATCCATTTACGCAACTTTTATTTTGCATTTTTTGACATTTTAAATTGCTTAGGTCATATTCGTGCATTTTTAGGTCATATTTTCCTTTTTTAGTTCATTTTCCAGCATTTTTAATCAAATTCCGTCAATTGACGGCAAAAATGCTTGAAAAAAATGTATTTTTGAACACAGGCTGTATATAGGTATGTCGATAAAATAAGGCAATTGCTAGATAACTACATAAGTTATTTGTAAGTTATTTATTTCTAAAATTTTTAAAAATGTTTCAGGTGAATAGCATTAAGTACGGAAAATTCAAATTCAACCAACATTTTCATTATTATTATTTTTATTAAATAAACACTTTTTTATGCATGTAATGTACTAATGTAAAATATCCTGTACCTAATATTAATATTAGAATTAAAATTAAATTAAAAACCATTTTAAAAGAATTTTATACTGTAATTGTTGGCATTTTATATTGGATTTTCTGCATTTTAATTTTTAAGTGCATATTTTTTGCATTTTTGACATGTTTAATGCATTTTTTAAGGTTCTTTAGTGCATTAAATGTACAGCCCTAATAATAATATTATATTATTATACTAACAACCGTCAACTAGTTGCTGCAGCAGACATACGGAGGCGTAAACCATATAATTTCAACGAAAATGGACAAATGGGTAGGAAAAGTCGCCGTGGTCACGGGTGCATCGTCGGGGATCGGAGCGGCCACTTGTAGGCGACTGGTTGACAGCGGAATGATTGTCGTCGGATTTGCCAGGAGAGAAGACAGACTCGAGGTGGGTGAATTTCAGGGTGTGTAAACCATTAGGTACCGATTTTCTCACAAAAAAAATTATTTCAAGAAATATTATAGGTTTATTATCTGTATTAGTTATTAAATAATTAAGTTAACTATAGTTAAAAATATTTTTTAAAAATATTGACATAAATAGAATTTAAGAGTTTATTTTTTTATGTGTCTAAAAATTATAATAATATATTTTATATTATAATTACCTAAATATTTAAAAGATTAAAAAAATTATTTTTCATGCGTTCTTAGCTGGCGAAATCGTTGATTATACAATCATAATTGATTTGTCATGGATGCATATACCCCAACTTTCAAGAGTCAAGACTAGTGTTCGCTTCTAAAGTTCTAAAAAATAAAAATGAATGCTACAATTTAAAAAAATGTTTAAGTTTAAATTAAATTTAAATAATGTTTAAACTGTTCATAACGTTAAATGGAGAATTGTATAAACGTTTAGATTTTAATAACGTTAAACATAAAAATTCAATTACGTTTAAATTTCTTATAAAGGTGAACAGTATTTTTTTTTTAAAATTAAGCCCTGGATTTACAACTATCTAATTGCAATACAGACTGACTATAATATAGTACATGTATCAGTTTCTACAAGCTACACATAAGTATTAGGGTGGTCCTTAATTTTCGATGTTATTTTTTTTTTTAATTACCCCCCCCCCCCTAAATCTATTCCACTATTAAAAAAGAGCATACAAAAAAAGTTTCGGGCAAATTGATTAAATTTAACCAGTGCCACAAAAGCTCTAAACTTCTAAAAAATAGTTAATTACAAAAATGTTCAGTTTCTTTTAATTTTACCAATCATAACTCAAGAAATAAAAATTCTGCAATAAAATTCCAACAACATTAATTATAGGAAATTAAATGTATTATAATTTGTTATATATGTGTTTTATTTTTAAATATTAAATTTGTAGGTGTATTCGAATATGAGTATCAAAACAGTACATAGTTTATAGATTTTGTATTTGAAATAACAACGAAGACAAATAATTTAATTTAATTATATGTAATAATTAATAACTAATTTAGGACTATAGTTAATTATATAAAATACATTTTAATTTATATTGACACCACTCAATTTATAATGATACAATAAGCGTTTCTTTTTTGTGGTCTAGGAATTTTTTTCGGTAGTCGCTAACAACTTGTAATAAATATTGTTTTTGAGATTCGTCCTTAGTTATTATGTCATTATATTCCTCTATTCATTTTACACCTCTTTCTGTGACATCTTTGATAACAAAAATGTTTTTAAAAATAACTTTTGATTTTTGAAAATCTTCATTTCTCTTCCAAGTTGACGGGTCTAGTTTTAGGAAATCTGTGTTGATTGCAAATCGCTTAAATAGATTATTAGTTTTTACACATAAAATCCTCGATTTCTTTTTCTAATAGTTCTTTAGTATTTTTTGGAGATATTGTTATTCGTTGTGTAGTTGATAATAATTCTGATGTATTTTCTTCGTTGTTAAGAGCTTTTACCATATTTCTATTCATATCGATTGAAACAGCTTCATCAAAAAAAGGAATGCACATTATTCTGCCGTCAAATACCTCAGGTGACTAAAGAACTTTTTAACTGCAATCTGAGATATGTCTTTATCTATTACAGTATAATTACAAAGATCTTAAGTACAAGTTAAGTCTTGTACAGGTGCTTTGATAGGAGAGGGTGCATCAAACCATACTTTAAAGTTTAATGTATAGTCGAATAATAAAAATAAAAATATTTCTTTATGCAGTTTCCTCTTTCACTGTTAACCGAAGTTGCTCATGAAATAAATATATTTTTAAGCTGTAAATAGCTTTGGCCATCCAACGGGCTTGATGAATTTCACCTGGTTTCTTAAAATGGATACGATTAGGAAGTAGCCACCTAGAAAAATTACCGCCAACTCTAAAAGCTCTCGGTAATCATCATTTGGGTGATTTTCTTCTAGTCGATTTATAGAAAATTTAATAATATCATCACAAACGTCATTTACAGAACCCATTACAATACAATTTTCAATCCCAGAATTAAACTTTTTAGTATCCATCGTTACCCAGGCTAGTTGGAATCTTTTAAAATTAGCCACATCTGCACCCGATGTTCCACTGAATTTGAGATCATCGAAAATATTTTTTAATACTATTTCATATATATGATGGTGGCATGGTAGGTATACGATTTCGCGTTTTAATAATTGCTCTAGTAAATCACAAGCTCCATTTAAACGTCCTGTATTTGATGCAGTATTATCAGAACAAAAAGCTTGTACATCTTCAGTTAAACATCAGTCTACAAGCGTTTGGTATACCGCATTAGCTTGATTACTTCCAATTTCAGTATTTAATGCTGGGACACCTAGGAGTTGTTCGTGACCATTAACCAAGCGACTAAGGAAGCCTATCAACTAATCCTTTCCCCATTAATACGGGAAGAATCTTTCCATTGCAGTGTACAAGTACTATTTCTTCATTTGCTAAATTATAATCTTGACGTATTTTTTTATCACGTTCCTTACGAAGTTCTATTATAATAATTTCTTGTGTCGTATAGAATACAACATGCAGTATTACTTAAAATGTATATTATATAGAAGATACAATGTACATAGGTTTATATTAATTTAAATCGCATTATATGGTATAGAACACATTTTGTTTAATACTGTGACAAACAACTAAAACCTACAATTTTTTTTTTTTAATTTAAACTCAAATAATTTGAAAAGTTGAAGTAAAAAAAAAAAGTTTGTAAATCAAATTATTGTAATAATGGTACTGTATAATTAACGTATGTACAATTTGTTTGTAAAATTATTATTTTAAGAGTTATGATTAATAATATTAAAAAAACTAACGATTTTGAACATTTTTCTACTATTGAAACAGAGCTTTTGTGGCAAAGTTTATCAATTTGTCCGAAATTTTTTCTAATTGCATTTTTTTAGTAGTGGAACCGATTTGAGGGGGGTGACTTAAACATTTTTCAATTTTTTTCCTTCATCTATACCAGAGAACCACCCTAATAAGAATTGTAAACAAAAAATATAAAAATAATACTATTACATTAATAGGTAGGTAATATAAGTCTTGGAAGGGGCTGAAGGATTAGACATTTATACTTAATGACATGTTACTTCTTTTTCGAATACCTAAACATTTACTAATATTTAGATAATGCACTACAATTATAAATCTCTGATTCAAAACATTTAATTCAAACGAACATCGTGTAAAGTTATTAGAAAACAATTATTATTCTTTAAGTTCCGACCTCTAATCAAAACTATTTTTCAGGGTTCAATCTTAAATATACGAATATACAATTATTGGGTTAATACTTTATTTTATTTTTATAATACTATATTTTTTTTGAAGTCAATATAAATTAATAAGGTTTATCTCTACTTCTTTATATTGTAATAATAACAAACTAAATAATGAAATTATAATTAGACATTATAGACCTTTTTATTTATTTTTTTCTTCCTTCTATTTTGTTCAAATATTTTTTATTTTTCAAAAAATGTACTTGCTGGTTTTATGTTTTGTAATACATATCGAATCACCCTCATAATATTATGTATGGGACTCTGAGTAAGGAACCTTACTTTCTCACCTCAACCACTAGATTCGATACTGCCTATATATTTAGTTATCATTTTCGTAAATAATTTTCAATTATTACTACAAATTGTAAACGCTTTAAACCGCCACGATTATCAAATGGTTTTTGAATCATGCAGGAGTTGCGAAAAGAGTTGATCGGAAAACCGGGTGAATTTCATTACTACATTGTTGATTTGTGTTCAGAACAAAACATACAAGAAGCTTTCTCATGGATAAAGAGCACGTTGAAATCGGTCCATGTATTAGTAAACAACGCTGGAGTTTGGAAAAGTAGTGACGCTTTAGGCAAGTAGCTAGTAAATAATTGTAAAATAAATTATATCAATAACAATAATATCATAAAATGTACTTAGTAATATAGACTGACTGTTAGACTGTTTTCGTTCAGATTTCTTTTTCGTATACAATGATAGGAATAATATCATTGAACTTAAATCAAACACATACATTGCAGTGACCCAAACTTAAAGCAAACACTACCAACTCACACATCTTTTTTTAAATTGTATCCTTGTGTTTAGATTTTAAAGTATGTAAGTATGGTAGCAGAAAACAATTGCGGGTATGGTTTCTAGTAGAAAAATCGGATGTAGTTGTTATTCAAATACAACCGTCAAATTTAAAACTGTTTATTTGGTATAGACATTTGACATTTTAATTTAATGCTTGATAACAATTTTGTTCAAGAGAGAAAATGCTTAAAAACTAAATGCGATGCTCCTTATAAGTTATAAGTTGTTCTTATATCCAATTAAGAAATATAAAAATATGGTCACAATATTTTGATGAACATTTAAATAATGAACTTTTGTTCAAATGCTTAATTGATTCTTCAAAATCATAAAAACTTGCAAATTATTTTGTTTTAGAAAATGCATAACATTTTAATTTTAATACCTAAAGTTTAAAAGTTTAATGCAATAGATTCCTCATGAGGTTTCCTTAAACCAAAAAAAGGAAGATGAGCTGAAATACATTTTTTATGAGCGATTTACGTTCAACCGTTGACCACATTTGATATTCAAACGCATAGTAACAATTTATCATATCTAATGATTTTCGCTATTTTATTAAAAACTATTAACCTACCTATTGAAACTTAAAAGATTTCACTATTAATTAAATAATCGTCATATATTTATAATGAAAATATGTATTAAATTATTGATTTTATTTGTATTATATTTTGTGATAATTTTAAGCAATTTAGAGGCTTTTTAATTTATTAAATTTATTTTTTCATATGTTGATAATATTTTATTGCTAGGTCAAAAAACTTGAAAATGTAATACCAAATCTGACGTAAGTTTTTCTTCTAGTATTAAAAAAATATTAAAACTACATACCTTCGTTGTGTTTGAAGTCAAAAAAAAAATAATTATATGAAATCATGAAAACCATACAAATTAAATCGCAAAATATCTGTTCAATTTAATTGTTAAAATTTTAAATATAATAGGTAGTTAAATTAGTAGTATAGAAAACGTGTATGTACCTAAATGCATCAGTATAAATATGTTATAATTATTTATATAAGTATTATAGTTTATTTATTCTTTTTCTTATTGAGTCAAGGCTTTAACTTCTAAGACCATTAGCCTGAAGGTTATCAGTCGGTTTTTATTGCGGGAGAAGTACGGTTGGTTTGGAACACGTGTTTACGGGGCGAGGATTCGTCACTAAAATCCAGGGTGGTCACCCATCCGAGAGCTAGCGATGTCGGCCGATGCTTGACCTCAAAACATGTTAGTGCCCCAACGTTACTACCTATGTATTATATTCTACAACTTTGCAATTTATTTTTGTATCTATAATAATAAAGGTATTTTATTATTTTCGTTATTGATTATGAGATAAAATAACATAGATTGTTACAAGAAATCAAAATTGTTATTAAATTTTATAAATAAATAAAATAGGTAGGTGCTTATAATATTAATAATTTAGTATATTGGGGGACGAGGTGACCGAGTGGTCTGACGCGTCCGCTGCGACGCAGCCGGTCGCGGTTCGATCCTCGGCCACCGGGCAGCAATTTTCTCCGGACAAGTCGCGGTGACCAGAGAACAAGTGCTGCTATCCCCCACCCCCGGGGCATGGCAGAAACCTACGGGTGCCCCATTCGAAATTCTGCCAAATCAAACACACACGTGTTCCCCCCTACCGTCCCAAAAAACCTACAATACAAACCTATACAACACAAAAAACCCAATGGCCTATGTCACCGAGGGCTCTCTCCTTGAAATTAAAAAAAAAAAAAAAAATTTAGTATATTGTATTTATTTGCAACCTACAAAGGTATGTCAATTCAATCGAACATGATTATAATGTAAATAATGTGTCCGTCATTAATCATTGTAGCGAAAATTATTTCTATAGTAAATTTAATTGTTTTTAAAATTTTATTTATATGTATATTATTTAAAAAAAAAAAAACTAATCCTTTTTTGGGTATATTTTACAATATTTATCAATATATTTTAACTGTTTTGTTTATATCTTTATACATATACAAATCAATAATATTAATATTTAATTGGTGGTTAATGCCAATGGCGACTGTCTACATAATTTATTAGTTATTACTACAATTTATTCATGTTATTAAGTTTTATACTGATCAGGAAACCCACATGACTGGAAACTGATGTTTGACACTAACGTGTTAGGACCCAGCATTTGCAGTAAAGAAGCCGTGAATATCATGAAGGAGTTGAAAATCATCGGTCACATAGTAAATATAAATAGGTAAAAACGTCTACACTTTTAGATTCTGAGAGGAGTGAGGAATGTATTAATTTTTCAATGTATGTGTGTTTTTGTTTGCCTTACATCACCTTTTAGAACAGTAATAATGCTTCGACTTCTAAATAATTATGCCTTTTTTCAGTGACATTGGCCATTATCCACCAACATTAATGGCCAACATGTCTGTCTACAGTGCGACCAAGTTTAGTAGCGTTTCAATAACTGAGAGTTTACGAGAACTTTTGGCTTTGCACAACCTGCCAATCAGAGTCACTGTAATTAATTAATTTTTGAATATATAGGAAAAAATATTATACTGAATTATTTAAACAATTAAATTATTAAATATTATTATATAAATGTTTTGAATTATTAAAACAATACAATTGAATTCTAGATCAAATTTAAAAATTATAATTATTTGTAATTTTCAGAGTATCAGTCCGGGATTAGTAGATACCGAAATGGTTGAATATCATATTCCCGGTGCACCAATGTTGAAACCTTCAAATATAGCTGATGCAATTGTTTATGCTTTGGCCTCACCACAATACGTTAACGTAAACTTATATGAACTATAATTAAAATTATAACATAATATATTAATATGATTACAATTTAAAAATTGAAATTCTATAAGAGTTGTTGATAAATACTTATGAGTGTTATGACTTATAACGATTTCATAAGCTTTCATGTGTTTCTGTATGTAGAAAATGTTGACGTTTTCATATTTGTTTGAAAAATGTACTACTAGTTAAAAGCTATTAAATATAATTTTTTTTACAGATTTCTGAAATTCTTATTCGGCCAACAAGCGAGACAATGTTACCGTTTATTAAGGACGCGTTTCAAGAATTAAATATTAATTTGTAATTATTCACGATGCGCATTTGCTATAGTTGATATATTTAATGTGTACGATGTGTTTTGATGTATTTGGTGTATTTTTGAATATTTTTCAATTGTATTAAATTATTAAGTTTGTAGTCCTTTTTCTGTGCGTACCTTGCTATCTAATACCTACCTACGATTAAGTAATATCAAGTTCTAGATACATTAAATAAATAAAAAAGCGTGTAAGTGGATGTCACTCTGCTGCACATTAGATGCCTAGAAGGCCGCTGCAATGGATGATATTAAATTAGAAATCAATGATTGATGAACCCTGTTTTAAATTTTCAATCCTTAGCTATAAAAATTGAACATTAAATACATTTTTAACTACAAAATTATTTTTTAATTTGAGAAATTTTGTCAACATTTGAAGTTTCAATGATTATAATATAAAAAGGCGCCTATGTATTTTTAATACATTTCTACTGATATTTTAACTATATATTAGGAGCCTTGTATTCAATTTTCACTCTCTTTGACCAATCAAAGAAATTAAATTACATTAACATTTAAAGAAAAAAACTAAGAAAAAGTTGAAAATGTCCGTCAACAGCTTAAGACAAGTCAAAATATTTTGAAAACGTTATCAAGTATATGTATTGATAATATAAAAATATGGTGTAAATTTCCAGTACCTACAGCTATTCTTTTTTGAATTACAACACAATAAGAAAATCGGTACATTAGAAATCTAGTGAATATTCAATGTTGTAGAAATGTCAGCTTCAAACGCTCATAAAAATGTTATTTGACTTTCCAGTAGAATTTTTTTTTGATGAAATTAGACTGCAAACTTATAAGTATTATTGTATTACATTTTAAAATCTTAGATATGAAATGAAAAATTTTTATGAATTTCTAACTTAAAATAATTTTATAAATTTTGGTGATTTTTAAATATTTTGAAAAAATTTTGAAATTCAGACGCTCATAAAAAATTATTGTGGTCTTACGCTCAACTTTTTTTTTAAACTTCCAATTACAATAAATTATAAGGAACCTTGTATTATATTTTCAAGTTTTAGTCATTAATCAAAAAAGACTAATAATAATCGAACATATCATATCCATATGACTACAAATAGTTCAACATGAGTCAAAATATTTTAAAAATGTTATGGTGTATGGTATCACTAACATTTTGTGAAAAATTCATGTATCTATGGTAATCTGTTTTAGAGTTATACTAAGAATCAAAATCGATTTTTCCAAAGACTGGTTTTGTGTAAGCACTCCTTTTTTTCCTCAATTTTGTTTGTTCTTTCTGTTGCTTTTGAAAACTGTTAGGCATACTAAATGTTGAACTTCCGAATGCACCAACTAGATTCACTTTCCTATCGGAAAAGATACTGAAGTTTAAAATTAAAGCATTTTTGTGACTGTTTATCGTGTACAAAGAAACAAAAATCTAAATCCAAAAATCCAAAAAACAACTTTTATAAAATCAATGCGTCCATCACACCGCTCTAAATCTAATATGGTTAAATGTACATAGATAACACAAAATAAAAAAGTAAGTAAGTCAGGGGCGTGCTCAGCTTTTTCTAATGGGGGGGGATAAACTGTATCTTGTTTTGTTTATTGTCATGTACACAAAATGTTCTTATATATTGATATTTTAGAAATAGGTTGATATATATTATATGATATAATACTAGATATAGAGCTAATCATATTCAAAATTAACATTTTATAAAATATTTTATTTTTTATAATCGGACATAATAAAAGTATAGATCTAAAGACTTAAAGTATAAGATCAAGTTTTCTTGGCTTCATAGACATTTCATCCAAGACTTCATCTGGAGTAATGCTAGTATCTTTATGTACTGCCAACAACGTTAATCCATTCAAACGGTCCTAAAATAAAATGCAAGTAAATATTGAATGTCGGTTAAACTAATAAGTTAAAGAGTATTGTACTTCAAGCATTGAGTTTCTAGTGTATGTCTTCACCCTCTTTAATGTTGAAAACGTTCTTTCTGGGGTGGATGTTGAAACGGGTAGGACACATAAAATTTTTAGTAACTTATTCAAATTTGTATAAATAGAGGAACTGCAGAGTTGAAGAGCATCTAGGCCAGTTTTAATGACTTCAGAATTGTCCAATATCTTTGTTCGCCATATTTTCAGTTCAGCCAAACTGTTGTCTTTATTTACATGCGGTGAATAAAACTCTGCCAGATTTTTAAAGGATTCAATTTCACTTGCATTTAAGAACTGATTTTTTGAAAAAATAGTCTCAAATCCTATTTAAATTTATAAATTAGTAAAAATTATAATTAGTACTAAATATTAGTTAAAAAGAAAAACCTTTAAAAATAGTTTTGTGTGCAGTAAATCTTTCTTCTAATTGTGCAATAAAGAAATCCAAATATGGAATAAATATTGTAGTTCGATAATAATGTTCAACATTTATGTTTGATATTTTATTATTATCAGAATCTGTAAATGGATTTGCACGATTGGTTTGTATTTTTGTAATTCTTTTCACTGATAGATTTAAGCTGATAACTATAGCCATTTCCTAAATTACATTATATTGTGTTTAGAAATGGTTTGATAAAAATTAAATATAAAATTTATTAATTGACTTTGATTACCTCTGCCATTAAGAATATATTATTAAATTCTTGTTCAATATTAATCCTAATATTCTTAAGTGCTGAAATTATAGCCTCGGCAAGATTATAAGAATAACTTTAAAACTTTATTTTTTAGAAAATTAAAATAAATAAATTACTTTTGTAATTTGAAGTGAGATCAAAAATTCACTATCAATAGCTTTTAATAATATGGCAGCATCAGTGGCAGTACTGTCGTTCCATTCTGTAATTATTTCTAATGCAGCCACCACACAAGGGAATAGTTCAACAAAATCGTTCACAGCATCATAACGCTGCACCCAGCGTGTGGCACAAAGTCTTTTAAGTGTTCTGATTTTAGGTTCAAAATCACCTTCATCGATTGCAATTAACAATGCATTATTACGCTTTGGAGTTTTAAAAAACACATACATTTTTTCCAATATGCCTAAACAGTTTCGAATAGGCTTAATATTGCTTGCAGTAGAAACAGCCAAGTTCAGTGAATGGGCAGCACAATGGACATATATTGCTTGAGGATACTGTTCACGGATAATCGCTTGAACGCCATTAAACTTCCCAGACATGTTACTTGCTCCATCAAATCCTTGACCAAATTAGAAATCGCATTGAACTCCACAACTAATTAAACCTAAAATTTTAAATTTCAAACAGATAAATTAAATTATATATTTATATCATTTTTAAGATAATATACAAACCATTTATAATAGCTGACGAAAGTGAAATGCCAGTAAGACTGTCTACTTTTATATATTGCAAAAAATCTTCACATATATTATTTTGAGTATCCAAATATCTCACACATAAAGTTAGTTGTTCATTAGTTGAGATATCTGTTGTTTCATCAGCCAGTATTGAAAAACATTGTGAATCATTTATTTTTTTTACTATTTTTTTTTGTATTATATCTCCACATGCAATGATCATTTCGTTTTGAATTTTGGACCCAATGTATTTGTAACGATAATCATTTTCTAGATTTTTTTTTAAAAATTCATCTCCTTTTCCTCTATATCTGAGAATAGCACGGAAATTTCCATCATTAATTGAATCATCTGCAAAAAAAAGTTTGATAAAATAATATATTAAAAATATTAAAAATAGATTTTAGATACTCATTAATGATTACTGACCATTGACATTAATTTTTCCAGAATCTCTATGTCCCCTTAGAGCGATTTCTTGACGTCCACATAATATAAGGCATTCAATTATAGGTATAAGTTTTGCTCTATTTTCTTTTATTTTAGCTAATCTAAAAAAATATTCTTAATTTGTATTATAACTTATTTAATTTAATATTATGATTGAGTATTTTATTTACATACCTATCAGTGTCAACAGCCTCAATAATTGATGGTTGTTGTTTTGTATATATACTAACAAAATGATCAGCATTAAGAACAGCAGACTTATGGTAACTACATTTTGAATGTTTACGAAATGTCTATTAAAACATCAAACACACTTAATAATATAAACAATTTATTCATAAAAACTGTAAATACTGTATTACCTCAAGAGCTTTTTTCCATGCATCAAATGCTTCTAATACCAATTTATTTAAAGGCTGATTCCCTATTCCACCACATTTTGAAAATACTACACAAAACTTGCAATAAGCACCATTTTTTATTTTTGAGTAAGCAAGCCAATTAAATTGAAGCAACCATTTATATTGGAATTTTAAACCTCTTTTCTTATTTTTTTGGTTTAAAGGAAACTCAAATGTTGGCAATGGTAACCATACATTTTTAAGTGCCTAAACAGTAAAAATTATGTACACTAGGTGTAGGTAGTAAGAACAGTTTATTTTTATCAGCAATAAAGTCTAAACTTACAGTAAATTTATCAGCATCTGATAATCTACAGTTTACGAATAAGCTTATATCATTTTCATTTGCATGCATACTTTCAGTCTAAAAAATATGAAATTATTAAAAATATTTAAGCAGTTAGGCATTTGTAATGTGTATAAATATAAGTTTTAGTATTGCATATTTGCATAGCTAAAAACTGCAAAACTGTAAATATTATTGTAAAAGATATAATTTACAATGATTTTATAGTAAATAAAACTTTACCTGATCTTGAAATACTGACACTGAAGGCGATTGTGATATTGAATTCAAAACCGGAACCAAAACTGATGTTTTTTCACTAATATTCGACATCTTAAACCACATTGCATAGTGTTAGTAAAAAGATTTTGGAACAGATGCAGTAGGTACATTTTATCCAAGTTTTTTAAACTTTAAAATGTAAATTCATTTTAAGTATTGGGTACTTACTTCATTCAGTGTACTTGGTGTTTTTGTTGAATTTTTACTAGAAGTTGGTTCACAATCATCTTGATTTGTATTTTTAGAAAAATAATCACTAATTTTACGTTTTGACATAATTGTAATAGTATAGTAATAATTAATAAATAATAATTATTATGAAAATATGAAAATTATTATTTCAAAACGCACGACTGCACGAGGTACGATCAAACGTCAAAATCACGACAAAATAAATTAGGTATATTATAAAAAAAAATATATTATTTTTATTTTGTCGTGGTCAGTCAGACTAGTCAGAGATAGATGTAACTATGTAAGTACTCTACAGTCTATGGCCGATGGGCGCGATGGCCCGCAGTTATTAGTTTATTTTGGCTCGGTTATTGATAACAATAGATTGTGACGGGAATCCCGGAACGAACTATTTTGGTCCGTTAGATGGATATAATCTGTACTAACTGTCGTACTGATATATCGATGTTATATAGCGCGTTCATAACATAGATATCGAAACATAATGGACTGAAATGTTTTAATGTTATAATAGTCCATTGGTATCTGATAACGTAATGTTACTCACAGATGTGTATTGTGTATGCGTATCTACTGACTACTATAATATATATTTTATATCTTTGATGATAATAATTATTAATACAACTTAAAAATTAAAACCAATTATGCATTACCTCTTTTTTCGAGAAAAGCGAAACTAGCAAGAAACTTAAGAAAATGCATAAAAAAAAGTTCATGGGGGGGGATATGACACCCTCATCCCCCCCCCCGTGAGCACGCCCCTGAAGTAAGTCAAAAGAGTTGACAAATTATATTTGATATAAATTATTGCAACCTTGCGTCTTTGCTTAGAGGTTTTGCTTAGAGATCTCGTTTTTCCTTAATTTTATTTTTTCCTGACTCTTTTATACAAATGTTTACTAAAATTGGTCGAAAACGCATACAAGTATAAATAATGAATAATTTTTGTTAGAAATATATAAAGTTCTTAATTTTAAATTTTGAAATTGTAGCTAATTCAAGATTACAAGCCCATATTTTTTTATGACTGATTTTAGCTCAAATTTTTTATTACGTTTTAAGCTTCATAGGTACATGCGAATACCAGCGTCATGCAGCACATTATTATTACTTCAAAACTGTTAAATTATATAAATACATTCAACAATTCAAAACAAAATTGTATGGGTTAAGGCAAATATAAATATCTGCATTTCGAATTATTTTGTATTTTAATGTGGGTGTGATATTTACTAATAATTGAGATATTCGGTAGAGGATGTGTGGGCCAACCCCCCCCCCCCTGGTTGGTCGTCAATCTGAGTTCCCTAATCGAACTAAAATCGTCAGTACACTAATGATTTATATAACTATTAGTTTATATTTCTGTTGGTAATTTTTTGCTTGTTAGCTTTTAATCAGGCACCCACGACCTGAGGTCAACAATTTGCCACATATATAATTAAAATATATCATATAATTGTATACAATTTTACAAACAATTATTGTAACGAGTATGTTATGGTTGTACAGTGTGTAAGCTTTTATCATTGGATTTATCGTTCGAATAATATTGTAGGTATACTTCATGTCTGGAGGAGGCGGTGTAATTCTTTAATGACAATAGTATTTTACTGTTGTATAGTGTTATGTTCATGTGTATTTTTTTTGTTTTATTTAAAACATCAGTGTCTAAGACCATTGACTGCTACAACTTTATAAATGCTCACATTTTATCTCAAATTACATTGATATTAATGTACAAATCACGAGTCACAAAATATTGATTAAATTGGTCTTAATTATAAAGCTAATTGTGTTTTTTATGTTGTCTGAATGAAGTGCTTCTGGGAGTATGTTTGGTTCTCCTGCTTCCCGTTTATCTGTTCCCAATGAGAGGCATTCCGTTTTAATGTATTTAATTGTGAGAGGTGTTCAACAACTGACACATGCATCCTCCCTCTTATGTATTTTGTTCAAATGCTATACAATATTATAATAATAATTGTATTTTGTATCAGTAAAAGTACTCAAGAAAAATTTACAAAGCTTTAATTTTAAAACATGATATATTTATTTGTGAATTTTAATTTCTTAACTATTTGTTGGAAATAATTATTTATACAATAAATGACAAAAGCTTTGAACTTGGTCAATCTTTAGGATTATGTTATATATAGAACACTAATTTATATTGATTATTACTAGTTCGATGTGTGCTTTATTTTAATATGTATGCCCTATATTATTGTTGTTAACATGAGTGCTAATTTAACACGACGTTCTGTTGTTTGAGTGACAAATTAGACATTTAGAAAAGTACTGCCGCTTTCCAAAGCTGGAACAACTTGAAACAAGAAGTAGACTAAACATTTCACAATCGATATTGGGTAGAATATTGAAAAATAGGTAAGACATTTAATGTCCGGTTGAAAGAATGGTTTATATAAGTCAGAAATAAAGATACCCTGGCAAAATATGTAATAAAATAAAATAAATAAATAATCAAAATTTTTGTTTTTTTTTCCAACTGCCTATAAGAATCATTCGGTTTGTAGACCCACTTTGTGCTGGCGACCATGCATTTTAAATGATATCAATAAAGTTCGTAAGTAATAATTTTTATAAATTGTAGCTGCAGGTTTATGTATGTTGTATTTATACGTATTGTATGAGATAATATGTGTAGCAAGAATAGATGAGTGAGAATATATTTTTTTCTGTGAGAAAAATGTCTGTACATAAGTGTTTAAGCGTAGCGATAATATTTTTTTGTAGTTCTTCATTTGTAAAAATGGTGTTTACTTAATTATAATAGTGGCGTCATATTTATGTTTGTATCATTGTTCTTTAATATGTCTCGGTGTGTAGACCCTATAATCAAACTATAAGTTTGATCAATATTTAATGTCATTATTATAACATTATCACTACTTCGAAATAAAGAACTACGTGTTATACTGTTATACATATAACTAATATTTTTTAAATTTTAATATACATTTTCATTTATATATGTATATATTTATGATTCGATAATTTCTTTTTTAGATGTAAGAAAACTTAAGGGGAATATTGTATTAATTTTTCAAATCTCTTACACATAAAAAAGAAGTTTGTACATTTCTGACTTAGAATAATTTGCAAGTCTTTGTTTTTTACAAATGTTGTAAATTTCTAATTCAAACTCTCATAATAAATTATTGTGGATTTACGTTCAACTTCTTTTTTTTAATGTCCACTAACAACAATTTACGAGAAACCATGACTATTGTATTACATTTCCAAATTTCTGACATTAATTTTAAAAAGACTAGTAACAATCGAAAATTGTATATGTCTATAAATAATTCAAGACTAGTCAAAATATTTTGAAAAGGAAATGTGAATATGAACATTCAGTGAAAATTGCATGTATTAACATGAATATGTTAAAACAATCTAAAATATTAAATACTTAATATTATATAATATTCGCATTTTTTATTTTCATCTATAAAATATGGTATTTGCCTAAACAAACATAATTTAAAATTGTAATACATTAAATGAAAACAAATGCAGAATAAAGCATTACTATAGTATGCAGTGATTTATTAAAGTAAATCATGTCAACCGAAGCTAATAGTATGCGATAAGTAAAAACAGATCATATTAGTGAAATAGACTACTGTTGTTGGACAGGATTACTTGAAAACTAAATACTTTATGTATTACATAGTACTTGTAGACATTGTTTGTCAAAATAATTAATATCGAATATTTGGATGTTTATTTAATATCAGTGAAATTATTCTATGACCTAAGAGTTAGTTAAAAACTCATTTTTTTAAGTGTCTAGAATTTTATTCCATAATATCCTAAGTCTAAAATATGCACAAAAAACAATTTTAAAATTTCACTCATAACTATCTGTTAAAGCGTTTTAAAGTATTCTTTTAAGAATAACTTTTTTTTTTCGTTTAAGCTGACAGGAGAGGAGGATCTGTTTGAACACTACTACTCCTCATTTAAGAATCACTTAAAATCTCAAACGATTCCAAATTATTTGGTTGTTAAACACGCGTATAATTTTTAATCTGAAATCTGAATACTTAAGGTTACAAAATTGAATACAAACTCGAATAACATGAGTTTTGATGACAAATACTAAAAAAAAAGTTGAGGATAATTCCACAAATATTTGTATGAAATGTTATAATATGTTATAATTGTATAAACGTTGTCATAATTGGACATTCAGTCGTAAAGTATAACAATTTCATACATCAAACGATTTTAGTTTTTGTCGTATGAAAGACAAGAAAAATTATAAGGTGTCTCCAGCAATAATGTCTAAATATTATGGGATATCTATAAGGCTCTGGGTACAGTCAATATGTACTAACGCGTATAATATGTAAAAGTGCAAGTTTTAAACAAGTTATTGTTTAGGTAGTAGGTACCTAGCTGTACATGACGTGTCTACTGTGAATTGATTGTTTTAACACACTGTAAACAGTTTTTACATTGTGCGATTCGCTTTACGCTTGTCGTGCGTATCTATAAATCCCATGTACATTGTACGTATAAACGTATAATAATATATGTGTAAATGAATGATTTTTATGTGTATTAACATTATTTGGGCATAAACTGTTGTGCGTGACAGACGAAACTAAATAAAATACATTTAGGCTGTACGACCAAATTGGAAACAATAAAATATCGAACAAGATCAAATTAAACGTGCATTTACACCCTATAAAACTGGAATGGTGCAATCAAAACGCAACTAAGCACATGGAGAGGATTTGCCGACTCTAAAAAAGTAATCAATACCCCTTTCAATAAATCGATGTATAAATCTCACATATAAGTATTAAATTGGCAATCGAACATTATTTGGTAAATACAAATATTTTTTTTAATACTACATAATATAAAGTATTCATACAGAATTAACTCGAAAATAACTACCTATACAAAATAAAAACGATATAATGATAGGGAACTTTCATAAATAATCAGTAGTTTATTGAATTCATGATGGACAATGGTTAATGATTACTTAGTAAGGCACCTATTAAGATTTAAATCACACATTTTATCAAATAGTT